ATTGTACGACTTACATAAACAATTTAGATAATTCAAATTATAACATTATATTTAATGACTTGAAAATCATGAGAAGACATTTTAACGATGTAAGTGAAACAAATATCAATGTATTACGTAAATTTATTTTTTCTTAACTATTGTACTTATGTATGCATTTTTATACTAAGAACATCATCACACTTTTGTATGTATTATACAGATACACCCAAAGTGTATTTTACACCTTTTTTATACAAATATACCGATTATAATTTGTGTCATTGATTGTTTAAATTTTACTCTCTGTGATTCATGTAATAATCTATTGCAGTTGAAAATGCTGCAAAGCCTGCTGCTCCAATTATACCTGCTTTTACACCAGCTGAAACGTGAAATTACAGTGAAGTCGCAATTAAATTATTATGTTCCAATCTAATATATATAAGCAATCGATACCTCGTAATCCTAATATTCCACCTGTAAAACCACCAGCATATGCAGTATTCTTCCAATCATTTTTACCTCTGTACTAGAAGGACATTGTAAAATATGCATCATATACTCTTACTATTAATAAATTGTGATAAAATAAAGTATTATAAATATATATACATATATAGGATGTCTATGAAATCATGGTGCAAACGACCAAGTGGTAATTCTCTACATAAGTTGAAAAAGAGGAATATTTTTTAAGAAAATTGAGTTTGAACATTCAGTGAATATGTATGCTACTGAATAGTAATTGACTGACACACCTGTTCATGATCTACTAACACTATTTCTTGCACATACTAAAGCACGTAAATCTGATGGATTTTCAACCCACTTTTCCTTGAAAATAAGATTATAAATGAAAAGAATGTTATTCCCTTTTTTAACTTCTGTCTATATATACTGATCAAAATAAAATAATTTTGTAGAAAATTCATAGGAGTATTACCGATTCTATAGAGCATTCAATTGCAGTAAATACACAACCAACTATAGCAAAATTTTTAGCATAACTTGAAGCTGTGCTTCCCATTTCTCTAAGTGTTTCGCGAACAGTTTGTTGTTTCTCAATGCTAGCAAAATTTGGATTTACACTAGCTGAAAACCATCCTATTACACCTCCCAAAGCATATCCTGAAAATATAATTTTTCTTTTATTTATAGTTCATTAAATAGTAATTATTTAACACAATTATGTAACATACCTATAAAACAACTGCATATGCTTTTAAAAGTACAACTTTCTGCTATACTTTCCATACGTTTTTCTACATTAGTTTTAATTTGTACAGGTCCCACTGTCCTTGGGATTATAATATTTTCTCTAAATCTTTGCTGACTGCCGACTAGATAAACAGCTATGTTATCCCAAGTTCTATCATTTATAAAAACTTTTCCTTCACTATTTTCTGGTGGTTTATTAGGTGGTTCAGTGGTAAACATTTTTATTTGGGTACTATATACTTATTGAAACAAAACCACATTAGAGTTTTCAAAGTTTAATCACTGTGAGTTTTCTCAGCCTTATCGATGGCAATGCTGGAATTATATAAGATATATGCATACAGTGTTAGTTTATGTAAATATCTATAAATCAAAAAACAAACAAATTTAATACATAGCAAAGACTACTAGACTACTGTCTTTAACATATTCTTCATTCTAACCTATTATTACAAATTGGCATTAAATAACATGTAGAAGGATATTAAAAAGTTATTTTAAAACTTTCTGTATTAAACTCCAGTTTTACATTAAGGTGTATGAGTAAAATGTTTTGCTTCCAATTGAAGATTAAGATACAATCTCTTTCTCTAAAAAGTAATGCACAAGCTCATACTTGCTTCGTCAAACACGTTGTATGCATATCGATATAACATGTTAATATCGATACTATAAAAATATAAATTCTATTACTCTAGTGTTTCCATATGACATCTGAATTTTTTCGTTTATTTTGACGTTTTTGATTTTTTGCAGCCAGAATTTTCAATTAAAAATCTCGAACGAATTACATAGTATGCGCGTGGGTGCTTCACATATCACGGATTTGTTTCAAAATTTCTGAATATTCTCAAATTTGGAAATTAGGCCACAACCTGACGTGACGCGTGTCGATGTTCCCTGGTTGAATGATTTTAGGGCCCTGAAAAGGACCGATTGTTACAGGTTGATAGCTCTTTGGGCGCACAAAATTGTGCTGGGTTAAATAGATTTTATTACGTAATTATTTCACAGCTGACATGTGCCGAAGTTCTCTGGAATGCCATTGTAATTCATTGGCATTATAATCCAATAAAATGCCATTGTAATCCATTGTCAATTACATTTGTAAGGTCTCCTCTGCACCACTCAGAACCACTGTTGTAAATGCTTAGCTAAACAAACGGTCTAAAGCGAAAGAGCTACATTGTCTTAACCGTTATGTATGTACAATTAGATTTCCGCATATGAAATGTCGGATTTTTGTGATCGGCAAATATTTGTCTCCCTGCTTACATTATGCTGTTATTATTGTGTATTGCCAGCGTCATATTTTGCCAAAAAGAATTCTTTTCAAATTCTGTATTACGTCGCAAGAAACAGTATCAGATTTAAATGAATCAGAAAGTATGAAACATTGCAACATCCACCCTATTCACTCGATCTATCGCTAATAGATTTTCATTTTTTAAAATACCTATACAACTCTTTTCAAAGAATAAACATTTTGTTTGCGAAAATAGTATTAAAATTTCCATAGCCGAATTTCCAAATCCAAAAGACCAGAATTTCTATATAAAAATGGCATTCATACATTAAAAGCTCGTTGGAAGAAATGTATCGAAACAAGTAGGTCATATTTCGAGCAAATAAACATCTTCAGAAAAAGATATGAAGTTTACACTATTCCACTTGCAGCATTCATTCATTCTCTCGCGCTAACATTCAGGACAATGCAATAATTAGCTAGGCTTGATCTTGCTCAACTTGTCGAAATATTTCCTACAAACACATACATCCGAAACATATCTCAATGTGCATGTAGTCCAGAATCCTACAAGGCGACAAGTACAACTCGAATATTGCGCCCCATGTTTCAGATGGAGCGCCAGGTATACGAATACGCAAAAAGAGTGAGACCACAAGCACGGTAAAGTGAGACGGCCTAGATTTCTCGTCCGTGTGACTTATTTCGCATGGGTGCAATGATGCTTATTGAGGGCAACACTGTTCAGTTCAGGTGTAAATCGACAGCCAATCAAAGCACAGCAATTCCTTGTCATCTCCAAACATGGTTCTTGAATTGAGAGATTACTGTACTTGTACATACATATAGTGGTACCGGTACCGGGTACAAGGGTAAACAACTTCTAGGGATACCTAGAATACAAACGTCATAGCAGAGTACAGTACATACTGTAGCAAGAATAATAATATTGCTATAGTGCGTAAGGAACCTATTTTAAACCGGCGATTATGCTTCCGTTCGGATCATGGGGCGAACACAGATTAAAATAAACTTGAAACACTCTAGTAGCGTCTAGACATTTCTAAAGTCTTTTTAACACGATGCGAAAGCGGTATTAGCCTCAGTACTGCTGCATCGGAGACTTGAGAAAGTGTTACCGATAATCAAAGCGAAAACTAAGCTATTGAGTCTTTTTCAAAAAGTTCATATATTATATACATTGTTAAGTAAGTAAAATACAGTATAGTAAAATAAAGTAAAGTAAAATATAATAAAATAAAGATAAATTATTTTTCATTAACGCTTTTATTTTACATTACTTATTTTTCATTGCAAGTAGAGTTCACAAGTTATTCAACATGACAAAAACAATTCTAACTGCACAACAATGGAAGGAGAAGGGTAATGAAGAATTCAATAAAATGAATTGGTCAGAAGCATTGAGTTGTTATACAAATGCCTTAAAGCTTTCAAATGAAGGCAATTCTGAAAAAGCTATATATTATAAAAATCGTGCTGCTGTATATTTAAAACAAGAAGAATATAACAAAGCAATTAAGGATTGCGACGAATCACTTAATATATGCCCGAACGATCCCAAAGCACTATTTCGCAGATGTCAAGCATTAGAAGCTTTAGAAAGATATGAAGAAGCATATCGTGATGCCAGATATATAATTTCAGTAGATTCAGGAAATAAGGCAATTCAACCTATTGCTGCACGATTACATGAGATTGTACAGGAAAGATATAAACAAAATTCTCGCACTAGTGCCAAGGTTTGTATACTGACATTTATCATATAATACGATATCACAAATTCTATTATAATTTATTGTAATGTAATATATAAATTATATTCTTCCGCAGGTATCACAAATGATGGATTTAGTTTTTGAAATGAAAGGGACCAATGAAAACCGAGAAACAGCAATGAAAAATTTACTTGTTCTTGCTAGAGAAAGAGCAGGTGCAGAAATTATGTTAAAAGATGAAATTATTCCTAAAATAGTAAAACTTATGAAACTTGAAAAGAACGAGGAAATAATAACAAGTGCAATTCATATCATTGCCGAATTATGTAAAGATAATGTTAGCCGGACTGACGTTATTTTAAAGCATATTGGTATACCTTGTTACTTAGAAATGATCAATAGTAAACTTTCACAAAGAGTAAATGCTGCTCAGTATTGTTTGCAGGTTTGTAAACCTAATATATAATGACAAAATACTATTACTTTATTAACTTAAAACTAACAGTAATGTCTAAATTTGAAACTATGTTTTTAGACTATACTCAATACCTACAGTGGCATGGATAATAAACCAGATACAAAACCAAACAAAGAATTATGTGATAAATATAATAAACAAATTGATACTATTTTGTCTTGCTTGTTATACAGTGTAACAAGTAGAATTATTTCTGGATTAGCAAGAGACGCGATTATAGAACTTATTATACGCAACATTCACCATACTGCATTAAATTGGGCAGAGCGATTAGTGGAACTTCGTGGCTTACAACGTTTAATGGAAGTAGCCAGTGAACTTGAAGAATATAAATATGAATCTTCAATGGACATTACACCATCTACTAGAACTGTGACCAGTGTATGCTTAGCAAGAATTTATGAAAATATGTATTATGATGCTGCAAAAGAAAAATTTGGAAATGCCATAGACGAATTTATTAAAGATAAATTACTTGAGCCAGATATAGAATCTAAGGTACGTAACAGATTACTTTTAAATTTTTGCGAAAATCTATTGAGAAAAATATACATATCTATGCTTTTATTGTATTTATTTCTGTTTAAAATAGGTCCGTGCTGTAGTTGCTATCACAACATTATTGCTTGGTCCATTAGATGTTGGAAATACAGTGATTGCTAGAGAAGGTATCTTAGAAATGATACTTGTAATGGCAGGTACAGACGATATACTACAACAAAAAGTTGCTTGTGAGTGTATAGTTGCTGCAGCATCTAAGAAAGATAAAGCTACTGCAATTATAAATCAAGGAGTGAACATTTTGAAAAAATTATATCACTCTAAAGATGATTCTATTAAAGTACGTGCATTAGTAGGCTTGTGTAAGCTGGGTAGTTCAGGTGGCTCAGACGCCACAATTAGACCATTTGCAGATGGTGCAACATCAAGATTAGCAGAAGCTTGTAGGAGATTCTTAATTAATCCTAAGAAACAGAAAGATATGAGGAAATGGGCAGTAGAAGGGTTATCGTACCTTACTTTTGATGCTCAAGTTAAAGAAAAACTTATCGAAGATAGCGAAGCAGTTACAGCAATGATAGAACTTGCTAAAACAGGAGATCAGTCTGTAATTTATGGTGTTGTCACAACATTGGTGAATTTATGTAATGCTTATGACAAACAAGAAATTATACCAGAAATGATAGAACTAGCAAAATTTGCAAAACATCACATACCCGAAGAACATGAACTTGACGACATAGATTTTGTAAAAAAGAGAGAAATTATATTAGCTAAAGCTGGTGTTACCAGTGCATTGGTTAGTCTCTCCAAAACAGAAAGTCAAAATAGCAAGGAATTAATAGCACGTGTTTTCAATGCAATTTGTAGTCAACAAGAAGTTAGAGGTATTGTTGTTCAACAAGGTGGAGCTAAGGCTCTTTTACCATTGGCTTTAGAAGGAACTGAAAAAGGAAAGAAACAAGCATCTCAAGCCCTAGCCCGTTTAGGAATTACGATAAATCCAGAGGTGGCTTTTCCTGGCCAAAGAATAATGGAAGTAGTACGGCCTTTTATAAATCTTTTAAATCCAGATTGTTCTGCACTTGAAAATTTCGAAGCTTTAATGGCTCTGTGCAATTTAGCGGGTGTTAACGATAGCGTTAGGAAAAGAATATTACAGGAAGGGGGTTTCCAAAAAATAGAGACTTACATGTTTGAGGATCATGATATGTTAAGACGTGCCTCCACACAGGTTGTAAATAACTTAATGATGTGCGAAGATACTATAAAATATTATGAACAAGAAAATGATAGAGTTAAATATCTAGTTATTCTTTGCGAATATGAAGATATTGAAACAAGTTTAGCAGCAGCAGGAGCCTTAGCGATGTTGACATCGGTTAGCAAGAAATCTTGTAGTAAAGTCTTTGATTCTAAGGATTGGTTAGAGTCATTACGATTTTTACTCGCTAATCCAAATTCTGATTTACAACATAGAGGAATTGTCATTGTTTTAAACATGATGAAAAGCACTAAGGATGTTGCAGCAAGATTAATTGAAACTGATGTGATGGAAATTTTAATGGCTCTTACAAAGAATGAATCTGCAGAAAATAAAAAGATTAAAGAATTAGCTAGCAGTGCATTAGAAGCAGCAGCAGAATGGAAACTTATTAAAACTGCAAGTGAACAACAACAATCGCAGGATTCAAATAATTCAGAAAACGTTGAATAAATATTTAATATTTACTTAATCACACATACATTGAACATGAAATAATTTTAATAATGATTACAATTTTGTTATATCATAAAGTGCCTAAAACTATGTGTGTCATTTCATTCTTATAGTAAACCGCAGTCCAAAATTTTGAGTTCGGATAGACAATACCGGGTACTCGAAGCCAAGTCTGAATACTTCGTGACGCGACGTAGAACCTCTGCTAATCATTGTTCAAAATTATAATGTTCACCCGGTAGACGTACCGTGCTATAGTGCCGAACTCTTGCGCATGTATCGTCTGCCCCCATTCTTGCATAGCCTATTTTCCTACGAATACTAGACGTGACCAATCACAAACGTAAAAGCATTCCTGTCAACTATACTGCCCTCTACCTCTGCTATGTTGAACTGCTCATCCGTGTTATGACCGATGGAGTCACGTGAAATTTGAAGAAATGTACGGCAACGGTGTATATAGCAGACATTTCTACAATCGAAGCCCTCAAATTTAGTCTTTTGGGAATCTAAATTTTTCACTTCTGAATTGTACAGATTTTAGTGGATGTAAACCTCTGCAAACTAATATACGTATATGGTTTTCTTCTTTTGGGTCATCATAGCGTGCGGTGAGCCTCAGCCTTAATCTTTTGCCCACAACCACGCCTGAAAGACGTAGTCAGATAATCGGGCTACAATAGATTACCGTGCCTGAGAGACGTGGTCAGATTGTAATTGGGCTAGAAATGAGAGCCGTGATGCATCAATTTTGGGGTCTTTTATTTCTCGACATTTAATTATTTTATTAGTAGCTAAAGGAGGTGGCGCAGGTACCAACTTGGCGCGGTGCTAATCCCCGCCGTGGTCTAAGGGAACCGACTTTTATAGACAATATGCCTTCCATTAAAATATGACTGAAACCTTTTTAAATTATGAAACCCCATCGAAATCAAAAAAACTCTGTAAAGTTTATACGAGACATAAAAGAACATAGCGAAACAACGTGGGAGTGTAAAAGATGTAAAGTCCCATTACATGTACCAAAATGCTTTGAAAGATATCATACGGTTGAAGACCATTAATTTACTGTAAATTATTATAAATTGGAATTAAAACTTATTATAACTTATAAAATTATAGAATTATTAAAACTAATAAACTTTTCCTGTTCACTAATGATTCATTCGAAATTATTTATCAAACACCTTACAAAATTAAACCAATTATACCTTAGACATGTATGTATTTATATTCCGTAAGACGTGCGTGACTGGCACAACTTCAGACGTTTCGCGCAACCGTGAAAAGGCAGAACGCGTGACCAATCTTGTTGTTGTTTGTGGCACACGATATTGAAACTAAATCGTAGTGCAAAGGGTTGAGGACCTTCTACTTGTAAAAAGTATCGTGATTGTGTTGAATGAATAACAACCCTTGTGAGTAAGGAATTATGACGAGACAAACCTTTCCGATTAAAAAAGAATACTAAAAAATATTAAAAAAAGATAACAATTTAAAAACAAGAGGAAAGTTAGAAAATAAAACAATTTCTAAACATATCAACATTATGCTACTCATCCTAAGGCCAGTTAAAGTGTAAAGGGTAGTTCGTTATTGTCGGGGAATTTTCCATTTGTTGGATTGCTTGGTTTAGAGCAGGGTTCGGAATTAACTGCATATGATAGCGATATAGCAGTCTCCGAAAATGTTCCGCCTCTGTCATATGCAGTTACATAATTCCAAATCCGGGCTTACAATATTGTACCTGGAGGCAGCTTCTACTATCTACTACTAAAACCACTTCTTAGAAGGAAATAAATATGTAATTTCAAGGTTTCAAATTCAGTTTTACGTGTCTTACTCTAATCCAGGATCGAACAAAAAAGTCTCAAGACCCTATACCTATGTATATACAATTTTTCTTTTTATATTTAACTTTATTTATCTTAATTTAATATGGAAAAGATTTTTTAAGCAAGGTATACACAATAATAATAATAATAATGTAATTTCTTTTATTTATTATGATATATATAATTTTAATAAAACAATGAATAGCTTTTCTCAAGTATATTTATTGATTATCGTTAATTATAGTACGTGTCAATTTTCTCCTTATACTTCCCAGTGATGATTTCCTCGTGTTCAAAGTGGTTCATTCGAATTCACAAATATGTACTAATTAAGTTTTTAATAATTTGTACTTTTACTGTATCCAGTAAAAAGAGGTAGGTTATACTGAATTTGAGACTACCTCTTTCTACTAAACTGACTCCATGCTCAGCAATAGTAGCTGGTAGAGTAGATGCTGCCTTCATGTATATGTACATGCTCTAAGTTGAATTTTCTGTCGATCAATTTTCCAGTTCCCAAGTAATTACATTTAATGTTCAATATTTCTGATTCATCCAGAGTTCTATAAAAAGTGATCACTTGCTGTGAAATAGCTTATTTATTTTTTCATATTTTGTCAAATTCCTAGTATGTATTGCATTTATTAACAATCAAATATTGTATGCAACTGTTACTTAATAAAATAAAATAATTTTTTAAAAATCTATATTATTTATTTTGTATAAATATCCATCTTTTATGTATTTGTGTTTATATCCATACATATAAGTATGTATAAGTTACACAATATTTGTAATTATAATAAAATCGAATACCTAATGAGATTTGTTCGTACTTGAACATATATATTTTTTCATACCATTTCACAAAAAAGTAATTAACAGCCAAAATTATTATTACAACGCAACAAAAGCTATGATTTTAAGAATGGATGTTGCAAAGCTTGATCCGCAGTAAGTCGTGTTTTGTAATCTAAATCCAATAGTCTCAATAAAAGGTGATAAGCTTCTTTTGGAAACTGAATATCCAATGATGCCTTAAAAGATATTGAAAAATACAAAATATTATATAATGTTACATAAAATTTTGTTCAATTTTTTCTATTTTTAATTTTAGCTTATGCTTATAAATAAATAATAAATTAAAATACCTTCTCATACATCTTATTATCACTACTATTGTTTAATGAACCCTTATTTCTCTTTTTTAACTTTTGACATAAAGATACAACATCAATGCCTGGTATATCTTCATAAAAGATAATCTTTTTTCCTAAATCAGCAAAAAAATATATAAAGCATGAAAAATAAGTAAAATAAAAATAAAAAGAGAACAAATTATTTTGTAATAAATAAAATTGAAAGTTTTTTTATTATAATACCTAGTTTGTGTGCACATTGTTGCATTTTATTTGATCCAAAAATGGTTGTTATTTCTGCTAAAGCTGTACAGTCATCTGGAGAATGAAAAAAAGGTTGGGTACCGCTAAGAATACATAACATCATTACTCCACTTGCCCAAATATCAACTGCTGGTGTTTGTGAGGGATACTTCAATAAAACTTCAGGTGCACGAAATCCTGGTGTACCAGCCCTTGGAGCTGCCTGTTCTGGTCTTACTGTACATATTGAACAAACTTTCGGTTTCCCAAAACAATAACATTTCTCTCCTGTCACTTTCTTTTTTGAATTTAAAGATTGATTTAAACTATTCTGAAACATACCAAATGTAAATACTTATAAAAGTATTAATATTATCTTACAATTTTTAATAATTAATACTTTACTTCATCTGATCTTTTTCGTTTCACGGATTGCACATTAGATTTATTTAATGTAACAGTATTAGATTTATCTTCAGCAACATATTCTTGTGCTAATCCAAAATCAACTAACAAGTACCTGTGAGAAATAAGAAATTAATATGTTAATCTTACTTTATATTTATTTTATATAAAAAGATGTTATGAATATAATATTGACATAACCTTTTATTGCATCGATCATATAAAAAGTTATTAGGTTTCACATCCCTATGTATAATATTAAATTTATGAACTCTACGTAATGCAGTTAACAATGCTATCATGTAGTCCTTTGTTTCTTGAACAGTCATATCTTGTACGTAATCCTATTAAATGTTATTGGTAAAAATATTATTGAGTTATAACTCCCTTATATAGAATTACATGTACTTTATTGAAATATGGATACTAGTTATACCGAAAATTTGTCATGTCTCATATATGGCATTACAAAAACCACTGTCTCAAAACTTCGCAAACATAGTTCTAATCCAACCACATAATCTTTACCTCTAAAAAGACAATTTGGTTTATCAATGTTTTGCAAGAAACACATTTGCATAAATATATTATGAAATTAATTTGTAATAAATTATAATCAAAACTTCATATATTCATTACCCGATTTGTTGCATGCATAACAATTCACGTTTAATTTTCTCAGGGTGACGGGTAGGCACTAAATGTTTTAACGCGAACTTTTTAGACTCATTAGAAGATTTTAGTGTAGCTAAAAACACAGAACTAAATGTTCCTTCTCCAACTTTTCCATGTATATGAAATAACTCTTTCAATAATGGGATCTTATTTTTAAGATCAACAACATTATCACTCTCTGAAAATATAAATACATCAAGTTTCAACTTCAGTTTTTAGAAACGCAAAATTTTTGTAGGTAGCATAAACAAGATTTTCACCATCTTCATTATCCTCTCCAACTTGGCTTTTTTCTTCCATAATCGTAGTTGTATATTATACAACGCACTTAATTATGTACCTCCTTACTACTTTAGCAATTAGTTCATTCAACAAAATTGAAATTTTGCTATCTAACTTTGACAATAAGAAGTTGTCACGTGTACATAACCTGTCAGGACCATCGTACATTGGCGCCATTCTAAAAAGACGATCTACGTAATGTACGTATATATGTGCATATTATATGCATATGCGTACATTTTCTGTCAATGGTATGTATAGTGGCTCACAAAAGTGTCCGTACACCTTTTCAAACGCAATAACTATTTTAAAACTGAACTAAATGACTCGAATAGTTTTTTTAGATTTTCTACTAGACGATAACTAAAATGATCTTTTTTTTTAAATTTTGCTATTACTTGGAATGACAAAAAAAATTAAAGATCTCTCGTTTTTTAACTTTTATATCTTAGCNTGCTCTGTAACGTGAGTTTAAAGTGGCCAACAAAAGTGTCCGTCCACCTTTTCAAACGCAATAACTATTTTAAAACTGAACTAAATGACTCGAATAGTTTTTTTAGATTTTCTACTAGACGATAACTAAAATGATCTTTTTTTTTAAATTTTGCTATTACTTGGAATGACAAAAAAAATTAAAGATCTCTCGTTTTTTAACTTTTATATCTTAGCCTATAACAAAAATTTAAAAAATGTCTTTCGTAGATCTCGATAACTTGTATGCATGTTGAAAATTTTATCGAGATCGATTCACGTTGTTACGAGTTACAACAAATTAAAGATCACAAAAATCGTAGTTTTATTACCATTTTGACCAAAAACTGTAAGAAATCTGCAGTTTTTAAAATCTTTCTGTAGCTCGACTCTGGGTTAACCGATTTCGATCACATTTCCAGCACGCATATAAGTTACCGAGATCTACAAAAGACATGTTTTAAATTTTCGTTACAGACTCAGATAAAAAAGTTAAAAAATGAGGGTTTTTAATTTTTTCTTTTCATTTCAAATGATAGTAAAATTAAAAAATGCTTTTTAGTCATCGTCTAGTAGACTAAACCCTTTATCATCTAAAAAGAATTCAAGTCATTTAGTTCAGTGTTGAAAATGTTATTGCGTTTTAAAAGATGTACGAACACTTTTGTGGGCAACTGTATATATGAATGTATGAACATAAACACGTACGTAGATTATTAAGTGTAATGCTGAAACATGTTAAAAAAACACAACCTATGCATGTATACGCATTAGAAATTGATTTTGAAAAAAGAAATTGATTCTGATAAAATATATAATCTACGTCTACGATTCGTATCATAAACAAAAATAAGTGTTGCATGATCATGAGGTATGGTCAATGCAGTTACGAAAAGTCACTATGCAAGGCAACGCATGCGCAAGGAATCCCGCACAGCTGCGTGGCGCGTCTACCGAGCGAACGGTTATAATTCAGAACTACGATCAAGCAGGGGCACCGCATCGCGTCGCCACCGTAGTTCAGAATTACAATTAGGGTTGGCCAATTCTGAGTCGATTTTTGATATTTTTTTAATCGATTCTTGGATATTTGATTTTGGATCGAATCGATGTTTTTAATTACAAATCGATCTTCGACTGAAAGTCGCCATAATGTCATTATATATCGCCATTTACAACATTTCGTCTTCTTAAATTGATTGCCTTTAAATGATTGGTTAATAAATGAAAACCGAGTTATTCAATAAAAAAATAACTGAATATTAAGCGTATAACATTTATAACACTATTAAAATACCAATTAGAATATCTTATGATAAGACTGCATATAAACTTTTAAAATTAGATTGGCTTTAAATTATTTGTTCATTTAGGACTTGTTTTGCATGGGGTTGCTGCTGATGTCGTGCTCTCTTGCTCACTCGTCATTTTCTTTTTTTATCTTTCACTGTGAGGGCAGCATTGTTCAGCTGTGAATGATCAGCCAATCACAGTAAAGCAATTTCTGTACCATATCCCAGTTGAGGAGCCTTGCTGCCCCGAAAATGGTTCTTAGACCATGTGCAACCCAATACAAACCTTTGACACGTATATTTTTGTTATTTTGAAATAAGAAATATATTTGATACGTGCTGAATTGTTCAGGAATATTTCCTCAAACAGAAATCCGCTACTTAAAACCTGCTTGACATTTCAATTTATATGTTATTTTATTATCTTATAAAAACAAATTTTAGAACTTATTGATGTAACTGAGGTTAATCACGAGGTAAGAATTTCTAAACATTTTGTAGAAAACTATTGTAATTATTAAATTTTTTGGTAAATAGTTTTTTATATGAATATTTAAATGTTTAAGATGATGATGAAAGAAACCGAAGATGAATTTACCAACCGTAGTGATTCAAAGTGGTACGAAGAATATTCAAAACAGGAGAAACCATGCAAACATTCTAAATCCGAAACAGAAGTATCAAAGTTGAAAGATGAAGCTAAAAGATATTTAGATGCAGAAACTTCTGCTCATCAGTTGAAAGAATCAAAATCTCGTAATTCAGAAACAGCATGGTTAAAAACAGCATTAACACAAGGTACAAGATCAGATAAAATTGCAGCTGCTATTGTATTTGTTCAAGATAATCCAAAGTATAGTTTGGCTAGACTCACAATGCTTATAAATCAAGTACGGATAGCAAAACATAATCAATGCATTATGGTAATTAAATCATTGAGAGATCTCTTTTTGTCTGATCTGCTTCATCCAGATTTTAAGTTGCTCAAATTTGAAGAGCAAAACTTGGATGAAATTAATCAAAGTAACACTAAAGATACAATAGTTAAAACAGATTCATCAAAGAAAAAGTTAATGGCATATTGGTATTTTGAAGACCAATTACGTGAACAGTATGAACATTTTATTATGTCTTTAGCAACTATTGCTTCAGATACAGTGGATGCTAATCGTGAAGCAGCAATATCAGTGATGACAGATTTGTTAATTGGAAGTTCAGAACAGGAACACAAACTTCTGGGATTGATTGTAAACAAAATAGGAGATCCAAGCAATAAAGTAGGATCTAAAGCTATATTTTGTTTAACCAAGTTGTTGTATGAACATCCAAACATGAAACTTGTTGTGTTACGAGAAGTAGAAAAATTGCTATTTAGAACAAATGTGGCACAACGTGCTCAATATTATGCAGTTTGTTTGTTAACGCAATTTATTTTGAGTAAAGATGATGAAAAAATTGCATCCACCCTCATTGAAGTTTATTTTGCATTCTTTAAAGCCTGTTTAAAAAAGGGGGAACCAGATAGTAGAATGATGGCAGCTATTTTAACTGGTGTAAATAGAGCTTATCCATTTGCAAAAATGGATTCAAATATTCTACATAATCATATAGATTCTGTGTACAAAGTTGTACATCTTGGGTCTTTTAATGTTTCATTAAATGCACTTAACTTATTACATCAGGTATGTTGCAGCATGTTGCATAATGTATTTAGTGTAACGTTATTTTTAAATCTAATTTTTACGTTTCTTATGTAGGTTGCGGGGAAAGATGAGGTTCAGTCAAGTAGATTCTACTCTACATTTTATAAAAAGTTATTAGACCCACAAATTGGAGTATCCAACAAACGTGCATTGTTTCTTAATTTGTTATTCAGAGTTCTCCAAAAAGACGATAAAATACCACGTTTATATGCATTTATTAGAAGAAGTTTGCAAATTGCACTATACTTTCCTGCAAATATGATATGTGCTATTTTATACATTATATCTAAAATTATTCGAAAAAATGAAGCATTGAAAAACTTATTAATAAAATCGCAGATGTATATTAAAATAGAAAACGAAAATGACGAAACTGAAGATATTTCATTTAATACAGAAGATGTTGATGAAATCAACAAACCAATAAACTCAGAAGATTCTATTTTATTAACAAATGTTGCAATTGGAGATATTAGAAATGAGGAAACTAAATTCAAAATAGATGATGATATCAAAGTTGAATCATCTAAACAAAAAGAGTATGATCCTTTTTACCGCAATCCTCTTTATGCAGGAATAACTCAAGGCTTAAGTACTGAATTAATAACGTTATCTAAACATTATCATCCAAGTGTCGCATTATTTGCTAGTACCATCATTGAAGGTAATTCGTTCAAACCTACTTCATTATTCAATATACTTCGACAACATATGATATATATTATTTTTGTGCAGGAAAATTAATTGATTATACAGGAGATCCGTTAGAAGATTTATCTTTAATGCGTTTTCTGGATCGTTATGTTTTTAAAAATCCAAAGAAATTAGAAGATAAAAAAGTGCAAAAGAGAAACGATCCTTTGGCTCAGCGTGCGGGGTATACACCGAAAGGTATCCGGTGCATACCAGTAGATAGTGACTCGTATCTCAATGAAAGAGAAGACCGCATACCAGTTGACGAATTATTTTTATATCGGTATTTGAAAAAGAGAAAATTGAAAAACGAATCTAAACAAGATAATGATGATATAGAAAGCATTAATAGCGAGGAATTTGACGATATGTTAGGAAGGTTAACAGACGGTAAAGATTTTGAAGATCTGGACATTGCAGCCGATATACAAAGCAAGAAAAAGAAGAAAAAAGGTTTGTGAATAATTTTTTTTGTTCTTCGACGTAGAAACTGATTTATTTCAGTTCTCGTAACTTTTAAATCATTTTTATAGTTACTGAAGAAGAAGATGAAGATTCAGAAGATGATGAGATAAATGATTCAGAGCCAGATTTAGATGAAAATGAAGACACAGATAACGAATTACAAGATTTAAATGATATAGATTTAGATGAAGACGATGATATGAGTGATATCGATTTTAATGATATGAGTGACGATGAAGATACTTTTGATGACGATATTCGGCAAAGCATAAAAAATAAGCAGACGAAGAAAAATAAAGGACAAATTAAAAAGAATAAAAAAGGAATAGATAATAATATATTTGTATCTGCAGAAAAGTTTGCAGAAATGCTTGAAGAACACAGTAAGCAAAAGGGCAAACATGGTGGCACAGATACGTTTGATACAACAGATGGTGCAAGCGCTAAACAAATAGATTGGGAAACCAAACGACATCAAAAACTTAAAGGTTCTTTTAACAAGAAGAAACGAAAAGGTTCTAAAACTTTTAAGAAAAATGTAAAAAAGATTAGGCATTAAACATCCACTAAAAGATTTTTTGTAAATTTTCAATTTCCCTTCCACATAATTGTGTATGTATAACATATTAATAAATTTTAAACATTATAAAAAAGGCTGAGTTTAATCGTAATGTTACATCAAACAATAAATGGTAAACGTATGTACTTATATGATTACTTACATACTAAAAGATTTTATATAATGATCATTTTGATGTAATTGAATAATGAATATTACACATTAAATTATATCAATACTGTATTGTATTAAAAAACAAATTTAAGTTTTTAATAACCAATTGAATCTAGTTTATAGACTGAAAAGATGTTACTTAGACATTATTGTTTTTCTTGTCGTAGTATCAATTTTTTCATACATAAAGACTGGTGCTTGTACAGTTATACTTATTACTAAAGACATTTTTACAATTTCAAAAAATATGGATGACCAGTTCTATTCAGATGTCTGTACGCATTGTACATTGTCTTACTGTATTTAAATCAATCTGTGAAGTTTCTATGTCATTGTGAACTAAAACAATTTATATACACTACGTGTTTAGTTATTGAATATGTGAAAGTTAATTGTATAACATGTAAGTTGCCATTAATTAAACGAGAAGTTTTTATACTGCAAAATAGTAGCCAATTTATAAGTTTCATTCCTTTTCTTAGAAACTAATGAAAATTAGAATTATTAGAAATATATTTAATGAAGCTGAAAATGCATATTTGAAAGAAAGTACATAATAAGAATAATTATTATTTTACTAATAGTGACACTTTTATGTAATATAACTTGTCTATTGATCAAATATAAGTTGTTACTAGTAATTGTAAAAAACACTGAAGTCCAAAATATTGTTACTGTGCAATGACCAATAAATCTTTAAACTTTCATTTTGTACACACTAGTTGTTTTATTATATGCGACAGATTCTAAAACGTGGTGTGTATGAATACCGAAAGGCGGGTCGCTACTCTGGATCAGCTTTTGTTGAACTCTCTTCATCATGAGTCGGACTATGCCATGTTAATCTTTCCTCATAGAACTTAATCACAATTTGTGGACACTTCTCATTGGCAATTCTAGCAGGAACTAAATCGGCATCATCTGTGCCTTTCCATTTCATCAAAAACATAAGCTCCCCACTCGAATCTGTTGCACCAATAATACGCTCTGGCTCCAAATTTCTGTCAAAGCCTACATACAATTAAATATATTAGTCTAAATGAAATGAAATACATTAATTGTATCATTTTAAAACAAACTTGTATAAAAACCAATTACCTTCAGGTTTCTTTTCTTCTGTCATTCTCTTTTTAGCATTTGTAGGAATAGGTGTGCTTTTCCGTTTCTTTTGTTCTTTATCTTCATGACGTTTACCAACTGCAGCAGCTTCCTTCTTTTTTCGTTGTTCTTCAAATTGTGCAATTAAATCTGGACAATCCAAATTTTCCTCTGGTTCCCACGTATTGTCTTCATTAGAATACCCTTTCCATTTTAGAAAATATTCAACCTGAATTCAATAAATTAATGAATGTTTTATAACAAACTCACACAATTGTCAATAAATAAGCGAAAAAGACAAATAATAATATACAATTTACCTTTCCTTTCACCACCCTTCTGTCTAAAACTTTTTCAACACTGAATTCCTCTCCGCCTTCAGTTTCACCAGCAGATGAATCTTTGCTTTTGCTCATTTCTGTAAACAATGATATAAACAAATGTATTTAGTAAATAAAATTTAGTAATAAATAAAAACATCAAATGCATAACTTTAAAAAATTGGCAAAACGAATACAGGAGACTTATTGATACAAAAGTCTGACTACGTTAAATACCGCACCTATAAAAACTATATGCACAAATTGAAATTGTTGCTGCAGATAAGAACAATATATTTTACTACATATAACTACAGAACTGAAGCTTTCAAGATGTAAAGTGAACTGAAATGAACATTCTGCAAAATGGCGGTATGGCAGCCGGGAAGCAGTCATACACTTTATACGTTGAACTCGTGGATAAATTTAATAAAAAATAATTCATGCCGTTTTTCATTACAACTACTTCTGTTATTATATTATTATACTAAATTTTTAATTACAATACATACTTAGAAAACAGCAAATATAGCAGCCGAATGTTCACGCAAGAGCTATACGGCGGGCTTTCTTTTGCTTTAGCGTCTTATTATGGACCGTGTTGCCGCGAAAAATTGCACGTTGACCAACCTAAAGAAATTTCGCAGACCGTTATAATGTTTTCTGTCGTTAAATACATATATGTTTTAAAAATAGATTAAACTATAGAGCTTTCTTCTTGGAAATTAATATATTTTCTTAAAACTTTACGATTCTCTTAAAAATGCAATCAAAATACAATATTAATAACAATATTATCTTTTGATAATATCTCAACCAATCATTTTAAAGTAATTATACGTTAAACTTCAGCATCTGCACGATTTACTTTTTCATATTAAACAATAAAAGAGAAGTTTACAAAAGTATGAATGTAATTGAATAATTACAATAAAATAAACGTTAAAAATGATTTATTTTTTCCACTTCCATCAATATTTCTTCTAGATACAGTAATTCTAATGAGAAATTTAACTTGCAAATGCAAAATATGGTTTAATGCAGTATTTTCATAAAACTTAATATATTTTTTATTTTGATTCACATATTATTCATTCAATGTAAATTATATAATGTTGCTTGATAATGTTTGTACTTAAATTATTGTGGTTGTATTTGATATTGCATAATTATTATCAAATATTACAAGGTGTTTTATGGAACAATATTTAATAAACATTGCTATTTATTTGCTATTTATTGCTATTTAAAGTTGTAAATAGTGTTTTTAGAAAAACAAAAATCACATTAGAAAATAAAAAGGCATATGTTAGCCAATTTTGAGTTTGATAATCGCCCAGAGGGCGCTATTATTTAAAACTTTGACGTTAATTTGCCGTTCTACAAAGACAGTTGAAACGGCGCTGAAAATTCAGAGTTGGCAAGGACTTTCAAGGTATTGTTAAAATAGAATTTGCAAAGTATTAGAGTATGTGTTTAAAAATCATTGACTGTTCTTATAGTATTGTATGTCTTAAAATTAAAGTTTAATAATTGTCTATGCGTAATTTACAGACAAATATTCGAAATGGCTGCTCGATCCGTTGTTAAATATTTACGTCCAAAAAATGTTGTATCTCAAATTTATCGATGTGCTTCATTATCTGCATTCGAAATACAACACAAAACCCCATCTATTAAAAAGGTAATGCCTATACCAAAGGCACATTATGGTGGACGACACACGGTTACTCTTCTACCTGGTGCAGGTATTGGACCAGAGTTAATGAACTATGTTAAACAGGTATTTATAAACACAGTGTTCAATTTTCAGCTTGTAGAAGACCTTACTGTATTATTAGTCTTATTCTTTCTTTGTAATTATTGTAATATTTTTTAACAAAGTTAAAGGATAGTTTCCAAAATCTATAAATGTCTTACATAACTTTTTTGTGTACTTGTTATAGGTGTTCAGTTATGCTGGTGTACCTGTAGACTTTGAGGATGTAGACATTGATCCGAATGCAGATGATAATGAGGACCTACATTATGCTATTACATCAATTCGTAGAAATGGTGTAGCATTAAAAGGAAATATTGAAACTCGTAGTAGAGAAGCTGAAGTAATTTCGCGAAATGTAGCTCTTCGAAATGAGTTGGATCTTTATGTGAATGTTTTGCATTGTGTATCCTATCCAGGAGTAAATTCACGTCATAAAAATATTGATATTGTCATTGTCAGACAAAATACAGAGGGAGAATATGCCATGTTAGAACACGAAAGTGTAAAGGGTGTTGTAGAAAGCATGAAAGTCATTACAAGCTCTAATTCTGAACGTGTTGCAAGATACGCATTTGAATATGCTAAACGAAATGGAAGGAAAAAGGTTACTACTGTTCATAAAGCAAATATAATGAAACTTTCTGATGGCTTGTTCTTACAAATTTCAAAGGAAGTTGCTAAAGATTATCCAGATATTACTCACAATGATATGATTATTGATAACACTTGTATGCAGTTGGTCTCCAATCCACATCAGTTTGACATTGTGCTAACAACTAATTTATATGGAGCAATTGTGTCGAATGTAGTCTGTGGTTTGTTAGGTGGAGCAGGATTATTAGCTGGTAAAAACTTTGGTGACCACTATACTATATTTGAGCCAGGTACTCGTAATACTGGTGCCAAAATAGCTGGAAAAAATATTGCCAATCCTATTGCAATGTTAAATGCTGCAGTTGATATGTTGCGTCATCTTGGACACAAGCATCATGCTACTTTAATACAAAATGCAATTAATAAAACGATCAATCAAGGTATTCAAACTCGTGATCTTGGTGGACAAGCTACAAGCAAGGAAGTGATTGATTCCATTATGAAGCACATTAAATTAGCATCCGATTAAGACTGAAAAAGTATGTTTTGTTGAATGCTAAAATTCGTAGAAAAGTATCCGCGTATTATTGGATTTTGCTTATTAGCAAGAATTATTCCATTCTTTGTTAAAGTATTACATTGTCATTATGATTGACAAAAGTCATTATACTCATAAATCTAAACTCACATAAGTTGCACAAAGCTATACATTATAAGTTTTAAATAAATTAACACAATTTGAATCGTATTAAATATTAAATATTTTATCTAATATGACATTATCGCATGATGAATTATTAAATTATAAAATTTGTAAAATATT